TTTTTTTTTTTTTTTTTGTTTTGCCTCTGAGACCAGCTGTCAATGTGGGCCTTGCAGGATTATTTTTAAGGATAGCAGAAGCCTTGGACATCTAGACTATGATCCAAGAGAATGAGCATAAACCATTTAGCATCCTTGGTGCCAATGAACATTTTTTTCTCCAAGATGGTCAAGACAAGGCACAGTTGAAGAACTTTTGTTGGAGAAACTCCTGTTGCTCTGAGTATCCATCTCTTGAGAAGCCCAGGAAAGATCAGCCTGCTGCTGCAGCAAGTTCTGAAAGGTTCACCTTAACTTACTCCCTCTACCATGGATGGAAGTTTTGGTGGCTTTCAAGCCAACTGGATTATTCATCAAAATAGTCTCTTATGCCTGCATGGAAGGTGCATTCTCTCAAAAGAAAAAGCTCACCTTGATTAGGCTCTACTATAAATGATTGCCCAAGATGGTCTTAGATTTCACCTCTGTCAGTCTGTCCATATGATTCCCAGTTTTCTTACAGGACCTCTCTTCTCATTCATTGGAATGAAGCCATATACACTCCAAATGGACAGAATAAAGGCATTTTTGGCAGTTTTCCAAGCTCGTGGCTTTTGCAGAGAGCATTTCCTCTGATTGATTGTATCTATATCCAGAGATTATCTAAATGGTTCTCAGACTGCATTAAGATGAGAGAGCAAATGAGTACACTCTAGGATATTGTCAAAGCACGTTCAGCCAGGGCTTGCACAGCATCTGCAGTTTCTCTTGTAGATGTTTCAGTCTTCAAAACTTTGTAGCGCTGCTATCTGGAACTTCAGCCAAAGCATTTATATTGCAATAGAATATCCTGGAGAGTGTGAGGGGCACAGGCTGTTCAAAAAGAGCTTGATTTTTGTATGCTTAGGAGTGCACATCAGGAATCAAATCTGTGTGGATAGCTTTATCTCAAAGAACCAGAGTTCCTGCAGGCAAGTAACTTCTTTTTTGACTGATCTGACTTTTAGGACCATGCAGGACAAGAAAAAGATCTCTTATTGAATATCCCTTTTTTTTCAAAAAAAGAAAAAAAGGGGGAAAATGGATTTCTTTAGCATGCAATCTTTAATGAAATCAGAGATGCTGTTAGAAACATAATTGGATGCCTACTGCTTACTAATTTTGCAAAGAACTAATTACTTTGTTTAATTTGATAATTCTGGTTTACAACTGCAAGCATAACAGCAATAGCAAAATCTGAAAAAAGTGTTTCTTTCTTTCTTTTTTGTAGTTGGCATGGCAGAAGCAGATAATTCATCTCAGGATGCCTTAGGACTCAACAAACTTGGGGGACAGGCAGAAAAAAACAGGAAACTACAGAAAAAGTAAGTTAATCTTTTTCCCCTTTTGCTGCAATGAAATCCCATGGTAATCCATGTAAAAGTGCCTTTATAAATATTATGCCTCATCTTTTAAGGACCTTTTTTTTTTTTTACCTGCATTGCTGATATAGGGTATTTAAAAATGTTATGGTCTTGGCAAACTTGAAATGGGATCTTTCAGCTCTGAAAAGCGCTACTGTAAAAAAAAAAAAAAAAAAAAAA